AATACAACCATTTTCAGTCAAGTCACATGGACAGTTTCTTTTTTTTTCTGAAACGATTCACCTTCCATCCAGAAGGCTTCATCAATCAAGGAAACACACAACACAAAACTGATTCTTCCCCCAACAGCTTACTCCAAAGTGGAACAAACCAGTTATGTTGGTGCTAAGATGGTGTCTATGGCACATGCCGGCCCTCTTCCATCTTAGTGCCAACTTAACTGGTTTGTTCCACTTTGGAATAAGCTGTTGGGGGAAGAATCAGATTTGGTGTGTTCCCTTGACTGATGAAGCCTTCTGGATGGAAGGTGAAACGTTTCAGCACAAAAAAAGAAACTGTCCAGGTGACCTGATTGAAAAATGTTGGATTGTATACCTGGATTATTGAGCATGGACTTTGTTGTTATAAAACAGGAATCTTGTTGTATAAAGTTATGTGTACTCCATTATCTTTACCTAAATATTTTCACAATTTCTTTAAGTTTAATTCTTATTATCATTCATACTCTACAAGAAGGAGGTATGCTGTACATTTCTCCTTCTGCAGAACCACTGCTGCTGAATGTTCATTCATGCGTGAGGGTGTTGTGCTGTGGAACATTTAAAACAACTAAGTGAATTGTGTTATTCATGATGTCATCTGTGTTCAAAAGAAAGTTGAAACAAAGTTTATAGATTTTTTAAACACACACATTTGTAGTTTTATTTTATTTTTTATTATTATTTTAATATTTTTGGGCAGTTTAAATGCATTACGTGCTATTATCTATTGCATGTGTGTGTGTGTGTCTTTTTTGTGCAAACAATAAAACAACAAAATAACTCTTTACAGTCTGTTAGTCTGTTTGAGAATGACTTGTCATGAAAAGTTCCTTTTCTTTTGCTTATACAGTCTGTGCCTGTGCATTTGTTCGGTTTCTGAGCCAACAAAATAGATTTGCAAGGTTTTTAGAAGAGGAGCAGGACAAAAATAAAACCGTTTAGTTCAGTGCTCAGTTTTGCTGCAGGTAGACATTTCTTGGAAGAGGTTCAAAACTAAATCCACAATATGAGCAAGGAAAATATCCCAACATCGTTTCTGTCTTTAACACGTCTTCAGAGGATCTTTACTGATTTAATCAACAAACAGCTGTTTCTCTGACCACATGCAAGAATCATCTTAGCAGAATTAATGAATGCAAATATGCTTTTAATGATCAACTTGAGCTTTTTAACAAAAGTCACAATAAAAAAA